AAATTGGTATGACACTTTTCAGATAATGATAAATGATTCAACTCATAGATTTGATCCTATTAACAGCAACTCCAATAAGTGATATTTTCAACTTAAAGATGAAGCAAATTGATAATGTTTCAAATAAGTGATTAGTTTAGATTGTTTTAAAATAATTGTACATAAAATATCATCCTGGAGAATGATTAACCTCAAATTAACTATTAGTATTTCTCAAGGTTTTATTATCACTCAAGTAATTGGACTAATCAATGTTGACAATTCGTTAAAATTGTTAACAACCATGATCAGAATGGATCATCTTCAAGGAAAGATTGATGATGATTATTGTAAATGCACCAATGAAAGCAAGACCTGGTTAATAAATGGTAACCAATGTTCCAACTTATATTCGATGAGCAATAAAGATTAACGGTAAAAATTTTCCGTAAATTGAGAAACAGTGAAAACAATCAACGAATGATTTCAAAACGAGCAAAACTAAGGACAGAATAAAAAACTCGAGGTAACTTACCTAATTTGAGTTTCGCTAAACACTGTTCAATGTTACCTTTATTATCTCGTACGAAAGCCATAACCAGGAAGGTAAACAGTTTCGTTGCCCACAGTGTTAAGTATATTCTGGAATTGACTTGAGGTTTGTATTAATTTATCAAATGATATTTCTTGTTCTTTGTGATTCGAATTACTGTTATTACTGCTGGCGGTGGTGGTGTTATTGGTATTGTTGTGAGTCGTGGTGGTATTTGTATTGATGGTGGTGCTGTGGTGGGTGTTGTTGCTTTCATTGTTACTGTTGTTTTTGCTCAACTTTGACTTAGGTTCAAATTCACTGGTTGATTCTGCGAGCGAGATCCAAAGAGAGAAATAATTTGTTAATCAAGTTAATTCATGTCAATTAAATTGTGAATTTCCAAACAATGTGATTAATTGGCTAACATAAATCATATCAATTGAATAATAACAATTTCCACATATAATGTTGTGATTGACGAAAAGCCCCTTCAAACCATTTACCCATTTGATTAACTAATCAAACGAACTAACTGTTTCTATTGCATTGAATATAATTAGCTTGGTTAAAAATTACCATGATTACATAAGCTGAAATATTAATTACATGGCTGAAATAAAGTGTAACAATTATCATTGCCAGTTAATACAAATTAATTTTACTCAGAGTATTAAATGATAAACTTATCAACGATGAACCTTTAATTATCATTAAAAGAGGTGGGAAAAGGGATTCGTGATGATGAAAAAGTTAACCATTATCATTTCATAAATCACCATATTCTCTGTTGATTATCAATTGGTAAAAAAGTTAATTAATCAAGTTAACAGACGAAATAAAATATACCCACAAGGTGAATTATCTTGATTGTCAATATTTTCAAGTTAATTCATCATAATCAATAAACAAAATACAAAAAGCGAGACATAAATATATTTATTTGTATTTGTGTATAAATGTAATATTAAATTCATCATAACTGAATATTCAGAGTCGGTGAATACTCATGAAAACCCTGTAGAAAAGGGATAAAACTCAATTGTTATGGTTTGTTGTTGGTTCAATGGTTCAGTGGGTATTGATTGATTACAGAACCAAATCAACTAATGACAACATATTACAATCAATTCAGGTATAACATTTTACTTGCGAATCCTCAGTGAATCTTTTGATTATCATCAATGATTATGATTAAAACTACTTGAGGTAAGTTTGGGTTGATTTTATTGAGCAAAGACAAATGATAATTCCCATGAATCTAATGAATATATTTATAAAATGCTACACACAATGATGAATATAAATTTATCATTTATACACATTTTTGTTCATTGTTACCATGAATTAACAGGAATCTCTTTGAATCAATTGCGATGAGAGAGAATCAAAACTTTTAACCAATTATCTCAATTATTATATTATATTGTTCCAATGTAATCAATCAAATTATAGCATAGATGTAACAATTATTCATTAATTGTATCAGTAATCATTGTAACATCATTAACTTTCTCAGTCAATTCTGGTTTTATATCATGAACCTCTCATGATAGTTCTCAGTTAAATGTATAATTATTTTGGTAAATTATGAAAATAAAAATTTTCCTAATTTGCTATTCGATCTCGAAGTTGTTCATATTCAGGTGAGTTTCTGGGATTGATCAAAATCTCGATTGTATCTTGGAAAGAACCTTTAATCAATTATCGCATATTAGTGAGAATTGATATTTAAATCAAGGAATAAAAAAGAAGCGATTTATCTCGCACAATAATTATTATTAATTGTTCTGCTATTACTTAATCGCAGAATTCTTTAACCTTTCTTCTCAAGATGGAAACTTTTTCAATCTTATAATTGATCATATTGACGACCTGTTGAGCTAAATGGTAAACACAATAAACCCATGAAAAACATGGTCTCTGAAAAATGAAAATGATTTGAATTGTAAATCGTTGCTACTATGCTATTAATCTAATTAAATTGTTGTAATACAAATTAAATCAATTTAATAGAGTTTTCTCGACTTTGGCAGTCAACAAGCATAACAAATTCATGTTAACAACTTTGTAAGATTAAGATTAAGAGTTGAAAGTCTTTTATACATAAATTATACTGAATATTCATCATGATCAGCAGTTAATTCTGTTATAATATGACACATAAAACAGGTAAATAGATGATTAAAATCGAGAAGTTTAAACAAAAAGGTTAATCTTTCAATGTGTCTAAACAAGCATAAGAAATCAAATTAAAGTATTAAGCTATTAAAGAATAATCATAATAAAATACATTGAATTAAATAACGATTCTAAATCATGAAGAAAATTGTATTAATATTGAATGAATATATTCAAATTCTTGTATTATTAGTATGGAGGGGGAAGTTTCAAGATTTTATAACTTTGGCAACATTTTAACACCCTGAGGAGGAATAAAGTATTTCGCACAATATTTATGCTTTTTTCAGGATAATTCAATAATGAAAATTTACAACTTATGCCTATAAGCAAATACTAACGAAAAATGATAATATCATCACCTTTATTTCATATGGTGCTTGAAATTCATTGCGGTGACTTTCAAACTTCTCATCATTCTATCATTAATAGTGAAAGAAAATCTCACAAGAATGTTGACATTTTTCTCTATGATTTATATTTCTCATATCATTCTCTTCACCATTATCACTTAAAGTAGATTCTCCGCATTCTAATGATACTTTTAAACTAACCAATCAATTTACTGTAACAAATGTTGCCCGAAATAACAAATACATAGTAAAGATACAGTTTGTAATCATAATAATAACAATGATAATAATTTGGTGATATTGAGAAATGAGTTTCAATGAGGTTTAACCATTCTAGCGTATCAATAGCATTGAGAATATTTTTCGACTTTTTGTTCGAGAAATACTCGATTCTTGAAGACTGAGTAAACACTGTAATATGACCGAATCATAATTCCCATCGAATTGCTTATTTTCATTATCTTGATAATGATAAGTGATCATAATTATCATCATAGATATGCCGTTATACGGAGAGATTATTATCATTTGTCAGAATCTTTCATTCAGAGTGAGAAACATTTTTTCCTTCTGAAAAAGTTCCAATTCAGGATGGGGTTTGGTTAGATAACTAGTTTAAAATGGAGAAAAGTTGTAGGGAACTAAAGATTCAACTGAATTTCAAATCAACTAATCAACTAATCAATTTGAGAAATCAGGGATGAGATTAAGCACCTTATCATATCACGAGAGCTTAAAATCAAAAGATTAACAAATCCGCTAGTGAAAATGGTTTAAAACTGAAGACTTTTCATTAGTATTAACAGTGAAGAGTTCGAACTTTATGTTTTTGTATGGCAGCACATGTGAAGTCTAGATATATTTGTTTCTGACCCGATAAGAAGTTTTTAAAAATGGGAACAAGTGAAAACCTCAGGTCATGTCTTATCAGCAACAATTAGTTTTCTGACTATGAAATTTTATTTCCATCAATGACTTTTCATATAGTACAGAAAATCCGAATTTTTATAAAATGAACATGAAAACTGCTCTGGTTATAGTTCAGTGTTATTTAAATTAATGGACCCACGTTAGTCCAGAGTGTTAAGAGTGATCCGAAGCTTATTTTTGAGACTATCATCGTATGGGTTAACATCATAGATCAAGTACTTTTTCATTTGATCAACAGTTTTAACGTAATGAGAGAGTGACCTTTGATCTTCTTTATACCAAAAGATGTCCTAATAAGTCGAAGCAACTTCGAACTCAATTTTCTCTCAAACGACTGATAAGAAAAATACATAAAATTATATTCAGACTTCAGATTTGTGGCCCGACAAATACATGAAGTCTCAACACTTGACTAGAAAGTCAAATGTTTTTGCTGATTGTCCTTACTTTACCGGTACATGAATTAATAGAAATTGAATTTGAATACAATGAACGTTATGTTAATTAACTATTTAAAGAGTTATAATTATATTGAAAAGACGATGTCTCGAATATCAATTTTGGTTTTATCACTGAAATTTAATCAGCATAAAAAGTTAATTCCTTTATTTGTTTGTGAAATTAAATTAACTCTAATCATTGTAACGACCATACAATTATATTGATATTTTACGGTTAAATGATATTAAGACAAATAGATCAACTTATTTAATGGATTCTTAATTATCTTTTTTATTTAGTTGGTTTAATTACAATTCTAGGAAACATTCAATCGGTAAAAATCATCATAAATACATGTTCAACTAACTTGTAATTATATTTTCCTCTTCTAAGTCAACTAATCACTTTTTGGTTACATTGTTGAGCTTAATTGTTATTTGATTAATCAGTAAACATAGAGACAGACAGAAAAGACAGAGAAAAAGATACAAAACAGAAAGAGTTAACAATAAACGCTAATCAATGTTAACCTAATGAATATCAATGAAAATCGTGTTGATTTAATTTCTGATCTCAATTGAAATAAAAACCAGACACAAATCCATAAAGTTAATTAACTGAATGAGATCACATTTAATTTCAACTGGGCTCCAATCGAGTTCCAACTAATTCAATCAAGAAGAAGCAAAAGTTTTTCAAAAGATTGAGAAAAACTTTTTATATCTCTGCGTTTCCATTGATACACTAATAGGTTACAAAAGATAAATAAAACCAATGTAATAATAATGAGAGAAAATGAAAAGTATCTGATATAGCAAATTGCAAGCGAAAAATATTATATAATATTTAGTTTGTTGGGTGGGAAAGGAAAAGTGTTTTCTGTTAACAGAGGATTCTATTGAGTTTGGAGAAATAGTTGAGTTCGAATCCATCAAAGTAAATAGTTACTATTACAAGATAATGAAGATTGGTTAAGACTTAAGGTTTGTTATATAAACAATCAATTGGAAGATTGAACAACAATAATACCCATGGAAAAGGAAAGTGAAAATAGAGATGATATTAAGACGATAAAGGATAAGGTGAAATGATGAACAAGAGATTGATAATCTTATGGCGACAGAAAAAGTTGAGTTGACAGAGGTTCCATTTTCGAAGATGTTAAAGCTGAATCCCAATGTTACCTGTTTCGGCTAATTAACTCATATTTTCACTTCTAATCAATTTTATACAATCATTGTGCCTGCTTTTAGACTATTGGTTTTGTTTTGCTCAAGTTTATTACTACTAGTGAAAGGTAACAAATATTCTCATCAGCTTCAAAAGTTCTGATTCTTTCTGTCTATTCCTTGTCAATTTGAAAGTTCTCTTTTCCCTTTGCTGTTTGTATTTAATTTCATCACCATGATGAAGAATAACAAATATT